TAAATGTGGATCTAAAAATTGATATTTCGAGGCAACTACTCCCGTTTCTGCAAAAATTAGTATTTTGCAGACTAAAGCCAGTAGAAACTTAAAAACGTCCCCTAGTTTTAGAAGACACTTCACTCTAACGACGCCGAAAGTTTTATGAAAATCACAAATAATTCTGAATTTTTCCAGTTTAGTAAATGTAGATCTGAAAATTGATATTTCGAGGGAGCTACTCCTATCGAAAAATTCGTATTTTGCAGACTGAAGCCAGTAGAAGCCTAAAAATTCCCCCCAGTTTTAGAAGATACTTCACTCAAAACTCATTCTAAATTCACTTCATTCTGAATGTTGCCAGCTTAGTAAATACTGGTGGCAAAATGAACGCTTTTCCAATTGGATTTTCGCTTTAAATTGATTCCCAGAAACAAATAGTTTAAATAATTGCATATCAGAGTAACGATTAGTAAGGAAAACAAACACATCTAGTGCTCATGCTCAAGAACTGATCAGAAAAAGCCTGAAAATCATGCTAATGGATCAGAAGTGCCAGATTACTCACCCATACAATCGACTGTCTCGAAAACTAACCCTAGGATAGAGCAGGTTTTAAAGTGAAAACAATGGCCGCAATTAAAATCAATGGAAAGCGCGCACTTACCTTCCATTTCCATGCCGGAATAGAGCGAGTATTTCTTCGAATGTTTTGTTTTTGGTTTCCGGCACCTTCTTATACGTAAAAATCCAAAATAAGGCTAGGAACACGCTAAATGGCAGGAACGTATAGTTATCGAGGGCAGTCTGGAAAATGAACAAATTGCGCTTAGTCCAGCCGATTTTTCGGATTGGAAATATGGAATTTACCTTCATACTGGGAAACACGATTCCCACCAGGAAATTGGCCATCCAGTTGACCAGGACAGCGATCGACATGGCGGCAGGTCGGGGCCCTTGCGAGAAAAGTTCCGCGGTGATCATCCAGGGAATCGATCCAGGCCCCATCGCGAAGAACTTGACGAAACATAGAGTCGATACTACAGACAAGTAGGACATCCAGTCGATCATTTCCTGCACATAGCCAAAAAACTCCTATCAGGCGGTAGAAATGAGTCCTTTCTGAACAGGCGAGGAGTGACAAATTGATGATGATAATTATTATGCATGATTTGCCGGTGCAATGTTGTGTCCATGTGTGTATGTGTGTGGATAAACTCTTGCATCCAGGATGAGTTTTTGCATCCAAATCTCGCGCAACTCTCATCCTGCATACGCAACTAAATCAGGCAACAAAGTGGGAAGTTTTAATTTTTTTAAATCCTTTGGTGCCTGATGGTGATGAGAAACTTAATGCGTGCGTGTGATGTGCCTCAGCTCTGGATATGTACAGCGTCGCTCCTCCACCGTGTCAGAAAGTTGGACAGTTAGAGCAGGGTGAAGCTAAGAAGCCGAAATCAATATGTCAACGTGAGGAATTGGGCTCGAAATCGTTTAGGCTTTTTACAAGATGGAAGTAGGTGATTTTTTCATTAGAAAACGAAAATCTCGTAAGGGAAGTTGGACATGAAAAACCCAATTTAAAGCAATGTTCTTCACGATATTTGGGAATTAAAATCGCCCGGTTTAAAATAGAATTTTCCATGTCAAACTCTGTTTGGCCAAATGCCCTTTCCGTCAACAAAGCGTTGCGTTGTGTGAAATCTAAGAAGCAAACCAATAGTTGAGCAAACTAAGAAAACGTTCTAAAGCAACGAAACGTTAAAACTTATTACTAAAGTGGGTCAGTAAAAAAACGATTGTAACAGGTATTGTTGATCTAGTGCTGATCAAGTAACTGAACTGGTCAATTGTTTGTACCCAATGGTCTTATACAGGGTGCCCCAATAAAAATATCGAGAGGGTCGAATATTACGCGCTATTACCGTTATCGTCTAAAGTTACAGTTAATTCAGACAAAAATTGCCAAATTTCATCACAATATTTGGAGACGTTGTTGACGAATTTTGTTTGGTTGAGAAAATATGGGAAAAAAATATTACCGAAACGCTTTTTTGGCACATAAATCCAAAACTATAGATTGCGGGAAAAAATGGTGTCTACAACATTTTCATAGCTTTTTAAGCTCTACGCTTGGATACCAAATTTTACAAAAATATCACGCACACAACAATAGCATTAGAAAGTTGAAGTTTTTCGGGCACAACACTGTTTCGAACACAAAAACACTCTAACCCCGACTAGTGATTAGTTTTTGCAAAGAAATCAGTGTTGTGCCCGAAGGGCTCGGCACAACAATCGCATTAGAGAAAAAGTTTAATATCGTCTTGTTGTGCCGAGCCCTTCGAGCACGACAGTGTTTCATCAGCTTCAATATTTAAAAAAATATAAACCTGAATAAATTGCGCGAATAAATTTTCAAATCTCTAGCCCAGATATTTTCATAATAATGGTAAAATCATAGTTAGAGTTAGAGATAAACTTAATCGTCGTAATTTTAACTCGTTTTTTTTACCATTATTATATCGCTTCGATGTACAGGGTGATTGATTAGGAATGGGAAATTCGGAATCTCGAAGTTGATATTTTCTCGAAGTTCAGCATTTCTGAAAATATCAACTTCCAGATTCCAAATTTCCCATATCCAATGAATCACCCTTGTACGTCGAAGCGATACGCAATGGGACACCCTGTATGGCCAGTCAAACCAATTAGAATCCTCTATAAATACACCGGGTGTCCAAATAAGGCTAAGCCCACTTAGACACGCCGTATCGCGATATTTTGTGCATGGAGAGCTGTAGACGTTGAGACCAACCGACCTTGATCAAAAACGAGATTGTTATGAATATGGAGAAAATGAACATCCCGCCCAGGCCATAAAGCAGGAGCGTCCTGCGGCCCATGCGGTCCATCAGGGGGATGGAGATCAGCGTCATGATGACCATGATGCAGCCGATGCCGATGGTGGCGAATTTCGCACTTTCCGGCGTGAGTCCTGCCGTCTCGAAGAGATTTGTGGAGTAGTAAAATACCTGGAATTGATCGAGAATGGGAGCGGAGCGCTTGAGGTGATCAACCACCGGCGTCTTACAGCGTTGATGCCTGAAAGCTGCTGGGAGAGTTGCAGCACCACGCCAATGTAGAGCGGAGTGCGCAGAGTGGGTGAGCAAATGAGTTCGAACATCGTGGTGGAGGACTCGGCCTGCTGCGCCCGCTCTTCCGCTCGCATCTCTTCAATATCCTCCTCCACCTGGGGAATTGAGGGCGGTTGGGGAATACGGTACAGGAGTGAGGAGGTACCTGGTTGCTGGCTCGCAGCCTCCGTAACGCCCGCCTTGACTCCTCCTCCCACTGTTTGGTGAGGAGCAAGTAGCGGGGGCTTTCGGGACAAACGGGAAGCAGCACCAGTTGCAGCAGGGCGGGCAGCACGGCCAATCCAAGCAGGAGCGGCCATCCCTCATTGGTGCCCAAGATCTGCTCGATGCCCAGCACTTGCGATATGAGCAGGCCCACAGTCACAGCTAGCTGATTGACAGTCCCCAAACCTCCACGGAGGTTCAGCGGGGAGATTTCCGATACGTACATGGGCACCAGGGATGTGTTGAGGCCTGGATAGCGGTTTCCACTCATCAACTCACCTGGATTGAGGCGGAGCCTTTTTCTGATTACTTACCGCAGTTTATGCCAATGATAAATCGGCCGGCAATCAGCATTTCGTAGGAGTTGGCCACTTTGGCGCACCACATCAGAGACCCGCCGGTTATCCCCAATATGTTATTAAGGAGAAGTCCACCTTTCCTGCAAACGCCGAGAAGTCAAGGTTTCAGTTAAAAGGTGCAAGGTGTCGCTCCCCAAAATTTGCTCACCTGCCAAACCGATTGGCCACCATTCCTCCGCTGAAGCCGCCCACCATTCCACCAATGGCGAACACCGAGACCACCACCGAATAAAGAGTTTTCACGTTTTCGTCCAACATGTCAGCATTGTACCGGGACTTGTACACGTCCTTCATGAAGTACTCGATGTTGCTTTGGGGCGCGTTTATCACGCCCGTATTGTATCCGAACTGCAACATCCCCAGTACTGCTGCCAGGATCGAGTAGGACAGAAAGCCCGTCAGTCCCTGCGGACAATTCAAGGCTCAATTGAACGAAACAACAAACGAGGGGCGATTATTGGTTTTGATTAGTTCCTGACTGCGGCCACCACCGACCTGTTCCAGAAGCCTCAGTTTCCTGCGATACGTGTGCTCCTCTATCCGATCGACGTACCCCCTCAACTCCTCAATCTCCTCTTTGACCTGCTGCACCGTCTGCAGTTCGTGCTTGATCGCCACCATGTCCCGCTTCACTTCGGACACTTCCGACTGGCAGGATTCCACGGACTTGGTCAGCTCCTGCAGCTGGATGCGGATCTCGTTGAGGGCGAACGTCGTCTCGTACTGACGGTCGCCGCGTTGGAGCTCGTCCAGCTTCTTGCTCAAGTTCATGCTCATCACAGTTACCTGCTTCTGCAAACTGTCCGGAAAATCGGAAAGCAGGCATTAGCTGGGCAACTGGCCTGCTAGCCGGACAAGCAACATCTAGAATGTGCTTTTCACGCAATCACGCTAAGGTTACAATTAGAATCACTACACTTTTCACTTTCAAAATTGCAAGACAACTACAATAGACTCTTGTCTATTCATACTGGAAAATATAAATCGCTACCTGCCCTGGTCATGGGGAGATGATTTTTTAACTAAAATCTCCACTAAGTTTCTAGTGTGCACAAATTTCAAAAATCTCCCTAATTGACTAGAGAACTCGAATTCTGAAAAAGAGTAGAACAGAGTCGTACCTAATTTAGCTGAAAATTTCAAGTCCCTGCCTGCCCATTTGTTTGAGATATAATTTTTAAAAAGAAGCTCCGCGCGCAATTGAGATATGAATCAATCAGATTGTTTAATATCTGGAATTTTTCCAAAATATCCCTGTGAGTGCAGGGGGGGCTTGTCTATTTATTATCAGAAATTCAAGTCTTTACGGGCCCTTTTGCTCGAAGTATAATATGTTTTAATAAAAGCTGCAACTAATTGGCATATGGCTCAATCGCGCTGTTTAAGTTTGGTAAGTTTTTAAAAATCGAGTTATTTTGCTAGAAAATTAGTTTTCTCTATAAGTCGTCAAGTGCATATCTGCTGTTCTCGCCGAGCGACGATTTTTGTAGAGAAATAGTGCAAAGTGTTATATTAGTTAGTGGCTGCTGAGCTTGTGATTTGTTTGTAAATCATCCTCATTTTCTAGAAAAACCAGATTTACAGTGAGAGTAAACTAGAGTGTTATCTATACGAGCTCAAAAATGGTTGGTCTCTACGTGATTTTTTGTACGAAGTGTGATTTTTTAATTAAAATGTGCGCTCAAGTGGGATATGAACTATTTGCTGCCTGAGTTTCGCAATTTTTAAAAATTAACGGTTATTTCTTGAAAATTAAAATTTGGTGGAAGCGTGGAGCAGATATTTGCCTATTCGCAGTCAAAATTTCAAGTCTTTCCCTGCTTGTATGTCCGAACCACGATTTTTGTTTAGATATCTATTACATATTAGTTAATTGCTGATTTAGTTGCATTTTATTTTAAGTTTCCATAATTTTCCACTAAATCTAAATTTATAGCAAAAATTAACCAGATTTTTGTCTATCCGGAGTGCAAATCACAAATCTCTTCAAGCAGATTCGAACAAAATATGATTTTTTTTTAAATATGCGTGCATAAGTGTGATCTCAATTTTTTGTTGCCAAAGTTTGACATTTTTTTTAAATCGTTCGACTTGGCTAACTTTTAGTTACGTACAAAAGTTAGGCAGGGTTTTGTCTATTCGGTCTGAAAATTTCAAGTCTCTATCTGCTCTTGTCTCCCAGACACAATCTTTGTAAGCAAATGGGCACGTAGGTGTCATATTATAATAGTTACATGCTGCTAAATTTGCCATTTTTTTAAATCACTCTATTTTGCTAGAAAGTCAACATTAATACGAGACGTGAACTAGAAATTTATCTAATCGGACTGAAATTTGTAAATCTCTAAGTGCCTTTATGATCGAAATACGATTTTTTATAAATTATGCGCGTATATGCGATCTCAGTTACGAGCTCGAATATGCTGCCACAGTTTGGAATTTTTTTTAAATCGAGCGACTTGACTAGATAATTTTAATTTTCTACAGGAGTAAAGTAGCTTTTGCTCTATTCGGTCTGAAAATTTCAAGTTCCTATCTGCTCTTGTCTGCGAGATACGATTTTTTTTGGAAAAAAATGGGCACGTAGGTGTTATACTTTGTTACAATTTGTATAAACTCACTAGAACTTACTAGAAACTGTGAACTTATGAGGACAGTGAATTAGAGTTTTATGAATGTCTGCTGGAAATTGTAAGTCTCTAGCTGTACTTTTGTCTGAAATATGTTTTTTTTATAAAATCTGTGCGCATATAAAACATGAATTATTTGCTGCGGGAATTTGCAAACTTTTGAGCGAAGGAACAGACTAGGCAAAAAAATTGAAATTTGCTGAAAGAGTGGAGCAGTATTTGGCCTTTTTGACGACAAAATATCAAGTTTCTATCTGGTCCTGTCTTCAAATCACGATTTTTGGGAAGAAAATGCGGACGAAAGTGTCAAATTAGCTACTCGCTGGCAAATTTGCAATTTTGTTTAAATCACCTTAAGTTGCTATGAACTGGAAATGTATAGAAAACGTGAACTGGAGATTTACCTATTTGGACCGAAATTTGTAAATCTCTAGGTGAATTTTTGTGCGAAATATAATTTTTTATAAAGTAGGCGCGTAAATGATCTGCCAGTTATTTGCTGCACAAATTTAGTAATTTTTAAAAATTGAGCGAGTTTGCTAGAAAATTTCAAAGTTACTACGGGTAAAGTAGAGTTTCGTCTATTTGGAACGAAAAATTTTAGTCTCTATCTGCTCTTGTCTCCCAGGTACGGTAATTGATAACAAAATGTGCACGTAGGTGTCATATTAGTTACTTGCTGCCATGTTTGCTATTTTTTAATCACCGTAACTTCCTAGGAAATCCAAATTTATAGCAGGAGTGATCCAGAGTTTTAACTATGCGGACTGCAAATTGTAAGTCCCTCAGTGTATTTCTGTTCGAAATACGATTTTTTCAATAAAATGTGCACGTAAATTTTGCCTATTCTGGCTCAAAATGTCCACCCTCTTTCTATCTTTGAGAAACTATTCCTGTACACAGTGGCCCAAACAATAAAGTGTTCTCATTCATCCGGCGATTCGTATCCTTCCATGGCCAGTTCCACCTCGTTATCTCAACATCCAAAGCGATCGAGGGCCATTAAAATAGAAAACCACTACTAACATGCAAGTGCTCTCCTGCAGTCGATCCACATGGAAGTGATGCATGCACAACATAAAGCCAAAAGCTCTAATAGCATTAAGGGTGGGCAAACCAAGCACAGCCAGCTGCAGCCTGCATCCAGTTAGATCGGGGCCTGCATCCAGTTGACTGTGCATGGCGAAACCGGCCCTAAAGCTAGCCAGTACCTGGGAGGCGGTAAGGATACCATTGCTGTGTTCCTAAACTATCGTGGATCCTTAGCGAAATTCACAATTGAAGCTCCAAAATTTTTTAGTCGGCAGTTTGATCTTCGATCTGCTGGACCCTGACGACACTGTTTGCCTGTCTCCCACCTATAGTTTGGAAACACAGCCCGTTAGTTATCCAGTTTTTGGTGCCCACTTGCATATGTTCCGTTCGAAACAGTTCGGCTTTGGTTTGAAGTGGTTCCGTACCAAAACAAAAAAAAAAAGAAAACGGGTTGGGTTTGTTTTCAACTGGGTTTTTCAGTTGGAAAGGGAATTTGCATGCCGCCTGCTCCTGCAGATATAAACCAATGGATTCGTTGCATTGTGGTCGAAACAATACTCGTATCATCGATTTTAATTCGTTGTTTGGACGCTTCGTTTGTATGAAATTGCCTCAAAAGCTGCATTTGGAAGATCAGTGGGGAAGAGTTTTGTCTCTCCATTGCTGCAGAAGCTTTTTATTTGTTTTAAATTGTCTGGGAAAATGCAACGTTGCCCTACTGGAAGAGTTGAGTCTAATTTGCCTAATGTGAGCCAAAGTTTCACGACTCTAGGTGCTCTTGTATGATTTTTGAAAATTTTTATCGACTGCCAAAACTCTGAAATTTTTAAAAAATCGTTCTAGTTTGCTGGAAAACGCAAATCCATAGGACAATTAGATTAGAGTTTTGCCTATTTTGAGGCAAAATTCCAGGTTTTTTTTGCTCTAGTGTCCGCGATATGCTTTTTTGAATAAAATGCGCTCGCAAATTCGCTATTAGTTACTTGCATCGTAAGTGGCAATTTTTCAAAAATCCAGTTACTGTGCTACATTATTTAAATTTTGTCGGACCAGTGATCCGAGTTTGTTCTATACACACTCAAAATTCCAAGTGTCTACCTTTTATGGTGTCCGAGATATGATTTTTTAATTAAAATTTGCTCGAAATGGAAGTTAGGCCAGTTTTCGAAAATCAAGGTATTTGGCGGAATATTCAAATTGATAGCAAGAGCGAAGCAACGTTTTCCCTATTCAAAGACAAAGTTTAACATCTCTACATCGATACTTTACGACTTTACGATGTCAAAGATATTACGTTTTCATCAAAATATGCTGTAAATGAAAGTTTGACAATTTTTCAAAGATCGACTCATTTTTCTCTTCTTCTTCTCGAAAAACGGAATTCCCAAGAATAATTTCGTCTATTCGGATTCAAAAGTCTAAGCCTTGATCTAGTTTCTGTCTGAGATATAAGTTTTAAAACAAAATATATACCCAAAAAAAAACTGTCCACGGAAATGTGTTACTGGTTACTTCGGTCTAAGATTTATTTTTTTCTCTAAATTGCCCTATTCCGCTATGAAATTGAAATTTGCAGAAAAACTAGAATAGAAGTTCACCTATTCTAAGCCTAAATTTAAAGTTTCCTCCTGTGCTCGCTTTCGAGATATAATTTTCTTAATTAAAATATCCACATAAAGTCATATGCGTTTTGGCCCCGAACTTTGCATTTTCTTATGTCAGTCCGGTTGTCTAGAACATAAAAATCTGCAGGAAGAGTAGACTAGACCTTCCCCTGTTTTAAGTCAAAATTTCGAGTCTCTGGCTGTGCGTATCACTGCGGAAAACAGTTTTCTCACATTTTGCAGGCGATGACGAACGCCTCACCGTGCTGCTATTTTGCTTCTGTGGTCTCAAAAAAATTAATTCTCCTAATCAGCCGCTAATAGAAGAAGAGATTTATGGGGGGGCGTAACTTATGCAAGAGGGCCACGCCCATTGCCAATTCACTTTGGTTACACTTTGGTTTTTGTGTTGTTTCCTAATTTAAACAAATCAAGTGTGCAGAGACTTGAGACTAAAGATCGTAAATTTATGTACCTCCGTAAGAGTTTTTTTCTTGAATCTTTACTCAGCTTGAACCTGCAACTAACTCACAACATAAAATGTTCTCTGCAGGAATTCAGGATCATCCAAACCCAACGAATCGGTATCTTTAGTCAGTGGTAACGGAAAAAAATGGATGCTCTGGAGCAAGAGAAAAGTGAATAAACCGCCTGTCAGGAACGAGCTCTAATGCTCTTTGTGCTCTACCTACTACTGGCCACAAGCAAGCTCTTCTACCCGGTTGTTGTTCGAAACGAGAAACTCAAACTCGCGTTGTAGCCAGCAGTAGAAACAGTATTGTTTCGACCAACCACGTTATATAGGTGAGGGTCTCGAAACAAAATCAAAACAATAGCAATTTCAGAACTTGGGACTAGCAGAGGCAGTGGCATTTTCTACATGAAAACTCATACTTATGGTCTAAGGATCGTTCAAAATGTCGTTTAGAGAGAGGAGAAAGTTAGAGAGTTTTGGCTCTGAGAGCGTGCAGATCCATCTATTCAATTACCAGCGTTTGTTACTGAGACCTTCTGCACGCACTCAGCACTCATATGAGCGATTTTCGTACACGTTTGTAGCAATGTAATTGACTTTTCTACATTTACAAGCCTTGTGAGGGCGTTGTAAGTGAGTGAAGGTAACGATAGCTTTTTAACGGAAAAGTCGCAAAAAATCTGGCAGTACCAAATCGGTTGAACCAGCGGGTGAATCTCAAGATGATTTTGCAATTTTTGCGCACTTTTGCAGAAAAAAACAGTCGGCACTGGAGTCATAAGAGTACTTCCGTGTAGAAATCGGGAACGCAGTATTCACTTGGACTCTTATGGCTCCATATACAGTGTGGTGTAAAATAAGTCGCTGAATGGAATCAGCTAGAAGTAGGTACCTAATAAGCAGCTCGCGTAGAGTTGCCTCATCTTCTGGCTGTATTTCTTTCTTCGTCTCATCACGTGAGACGCGAACGACGCTAGACCTCCGGAGAGGCGGAGGCGTCGCGACGCCGTACCGCCGCCCGGTCACCTTAAATGCGCAAGACGAGCTGGGGCCGTGGCCGTGGGTCGTCCCCCCGCTGCTCGCCGCATGCTCCTCCACCTCGGCTAGTTTTCACCGCACAACTGCAATAAAGCAAAAAACTGCTGCTGCGTTCCCGATTTCCACGAAAAATCACCACCGACATCGACGGAAATGCATCCAAACGGTGCATTTCCATTGAAATGGCCTGCCGCGTACTGGATTTTTTTGAGGAACAAATAATAAACAAGTTTATCGAAAAAACTGTATAATTCACTTCACGTGCTAAACAATACACAAAATAAACTAAAAATAAAGCGCAAACTAAACAAAATACAGTTGAGTGAAGTGAAGTTTAACGCGCGCATTTGACAGGCAACGTCAACTGGTTTTCATGTTGACAACGGTTTGTGTACGTTGTTAATGACAACCGGCCAGATGCGCACTTTAAAGTTCCAGGGCCCGCTTAGAGAACTTATCAAATAAATAGCAAATAAACAGCTAAACAATTATACAGTGAAATAAGTAAATTTTTGAAGGAAAAAACAATTGAAGAAAAAATCTAATGACTTACTTCAATTTTCCAGAACAGTATGCCCATGTTTCTTGCGTTGATAACCTGAAACAAACGAAAACAGCCTTTAAAGCGCTCGATTCAAAGGCCAGTTTATTCTTTGGTATACACGGTGTCAAAATAATAACGGCTAGACAAGGAGAAACTGGGAAGTTTTCCGGGGTTTTAGGCCCTCGTCAAAAGAGCGCTAAGGGCGGTTCCAAAATCGGCGTTAATTTTCATTTTTTCCATTTTGCGCGAAAAATAGAAACAGTTCTAAATTGATGTTTTTTACAAAAATGCGTATTTTGATGCTCTATCAGACAATGACAACGAGCACTTGACAGCTCAACCGGTTTTCTAAATATTCACCAAATGCTAAGGGCGGTTTTCCAGATCCGGGTAATATTTAATTTTTCACATTGTTCCTCAAAACCAGAAAAATTTCTAAATTAATATTTTATATAAAAAAGCAGGTATTTTCATGCTCTATCCGGCCCTGCCAACGGGAATTTTAGAACTTAACGGGTTCTCTTCATATGAGGCAGAGGCTAAGGGCAGTTTCGGGATTCGCGTTAATTTTAAAATTTTCCATTTTGCGTAAAAACTTGAAACATTTTTAAATTGCCGCTTTATAGAACAATATGCGTCTTTTAATGCTCTATCCGAAAATGGCAACTGAAGCTTTGCAGCTCAACCTCTAAATATGCACCAAAGGCTAAGTGCGGGTTGCAAGATCCGCGACATATTACATTTTTCACATTTTGCCTCAAAACCAGACAAATTTTTAAATTGATATTTTATATAAAAAAGCAGGTATTTTCATGCTCTATCCGGCCCTGTCAACGGGAATTTTATAACTTAACCGGTTCTCTTCATATGAGGCAGAGGCTAAGGGCAGTTTCGGGAGGCGCGTTAATTTAAAAAATTTCCGTTGTGCGTAAAAACTTGAAGCATTTTTAAATTGATGTTTTATAGAAAAATATGCGTCTTTTAATGCTCTATCCGGAAATGGCAACTGAAGCTTTGCGGCTCAACCGGTTCTCTGAATATGCACCAAAAGCTAAGTGCGGGTTGCAAGATCCGCGTCATATTTAATTTTTCGCATTTTGCCTGACAACCAGAAAAAATTCTAAATTAATGTTTTATATAAAAAAGTGAGTTTTTAATGCTCTATCAGGCAATGAGCTAAGAAACCTTCGTTTTTTATTGGCCAATAAAGTGGGAAAAAGTGCGGAGCAACCGTCTCTGAAGATGCAGGCTTCGGGTGCTTGCAAAACTTTACAAAGAAATTATTTTCCCCCATGACCTAAAGACCCAAAAAACTGGCCAGTTTCACGAAGTAGCCACGAAACTCCTTTGATAAGCGGGAAACTGTCAAAAACTAACTTGAAAAATCCAATGCTGTAACCAGTCAGATTACCAGATTTACCACTTCTAGACGCAAATAAACTTTAACTTTCGTTGTGATATTTCAAGCAAATAAATCCCCGATTATCATCAAGTTTATTGTACATAATTAACATTTATTGGTCACACACACAGTAAAAGCACTATGCAAATCCTACATAATGCGGTTAATCCAATGCACTTAAATCGTAAACAAGCGCATATCTTCTGGTAAACTTGCACATATAAAGAAAAGTTTATTGCTTTGTTTACTAATTAGATGATCTTTTGAGTTCAGAAAAAGTCAAATAAGGCGTTATTTTTAAGTCTGACTAAAATTGAATCCTCCATCCGGTTCAGGCCCTTAATGTTCAATGAATAATTTAATTAGCGCTCACGGCAATTGCCGATGAAAACTGGTTTCGTCGGACTTTAATATTTCGGCCCGTCATATGTTGATGCGACTGCAATTTACCTTCAATTGGAGTTTTAAAAAACCCACTGCCAACTCAAACACTCTATAGAAACTTCACTTGTTTGTGCATGCCCACTTTTCAACTATTGTTTTTTGGTCACCAAACGCACCTAGAAGTATCGAAACGGTACTGATGCTTCATACCAGCAGATCAAGTGGTGTAGGCTTGTAAAACAGTAAAGACGAAGATAAGCACAATCACTTAATGGAGTTAATTGACAAAAAAAGGCGCCACTAAAACAACAGAAGTACGGAAATTATCGCGAACGCAGGTAGATAGAAATAATCGAAGACTGCCAGGTAAAAGCTGGCCGATTGCAGCAAACGCCAGCGGGAATGTTGTGGTAGTGGGAATTGAAGATTAAATAAAAGTGAATGTGGCAAAAGCAATTTATTCTTTAGATATCAACGGCATTTCTTCAGCGCTTCGAAAAATGGCGCAAAAATCCTCCGCATTCAAGCGTGCCTCCAACCAACTAGCACACTTCATTTGATTCATTTTGCAATTTTGGGCTTTGAATTGATCACACATATTAGTCGGCTGAAAATGTGTACCTACCACTTAACTAAAAACCTGCAGATTAAGCCCGATAAAACTGAGAAAAATAGGAAAATTAACAAGCCAACTTCGCCTCATCATCCTCATTCGATCATTCTCATAATTAAGCATTAAACACCATCATTATCCTTTCAGAACATTCCTGTTTAAGATAAAACAATTGAAAATCCCCATCACTTAGTCTGGCAGATTAAAATCCACGAGTTGTGTTAAGATTGTGGTTGCGAAAGATTTGAAATCAATATCCAAGGGATTAAAGATAACAGCACGACAAACGTGCCGGCATTAAGATAGAGGGTAATCTTAAATAATTAGACAGTACAGGAAATATCTACTTGCCTAAAAACGTAGCAAATCGAGTTGTAGATTCGTCAGACGTATGCCTGGCATCTTCTTCAGGAAAACCTCAGCAAGGTGGAACTTTCCAATTCCTAGCAGGAAACCTGCAAACAAAAAAAAATGTTTTTAATTTTTGCAAATAAAAAAATAGTGTTTTTAAATGCAACCAACCAAAGGGGGCACTTTACGTAAACTATTACGGGTGTTCAACATATTTTCAAGGGTCTTGAAAGAGCATAAACGTTTGGATCCCACCTCGTATTCAAGCAGGCGTAAACCAGCTTGGGGCAAGAGAGAGATGAACACAGCAGTTGCCGCGGAAACCAGTCGGTTCTTGTCGCACGCTCCCAATTTACCAGGTCCGATCCAAAGAAGCAAAGATTTATATTCGAGTTTTTCGGATCTAATGTGATTGCTGATTTAAACGGATCAAACGAGGTGGGCTGGGGATATTGATATTCTTCCAAGACACTTGGGAAGCTTTTCAGTATCTTTTTCTCCAGTTTCTTGAAATTTTCCGGATGTTAGACCGTCTAAAACTAATTTCCTCCTTGTTCAACAGATGTCACCGCTGAACCATTTGCATTCATAGCACCCTGATCTTAGACAAGGAAAGAGAGTCTCTCTTTCCTTGTCTAAGACCCTGATGCACAGCCCTAACCTCAACAGTCTGTTTATGTTGATTAGTTAGCCGGTGACAACAGAAATCGTAAATTTTCTTGTGTTTTACTTCAATGACGACCCCAGGATTGGTTAATTCGGACAATTAGCAAAAATGAAACGGAGCCACAGGCCGGAGGTTACTAGAAAAGAGCCGGGTAGTAAGGGGAGAACGCAAAAGCCTCCAACTCCCGACAGCAGCACACATAGATCAAGGGAGCGCTGCTGTGCAGAGCCCCAGCACTCCAACCAGCATGTTTTGAGGAACAGCAATGCCAAGAAGCCGCTAAATATCTCTCCAGGTATTCTTGCCATTGATTGAGTAATGAAGGCACATGATTTAAAATCCCCATTTCAGACATGGCTATATCAGCAAACGCCGCCAGGTATGAAGGACAGGTTAAGGCGAACGGGAGCCCTAAACAGCGCTCTAGATCAACAGTCAGTGACCGCCAGCCTTGGGGCCAATTGCTCAGCAAGCACACTGGCGAGGAAAACGAAACTGTTTTCGGTAAATTCGACCCGCTTCGCACCCTACATTTTCTAGCTGGCGAACTGCAGACCAAAGTGCCAGGTAATTAATTAATATTCCGATACCAAACGGCCGGATATTTGGTTTTATCAACCGGGTATTTGGTAGATGAAACCAACGTGCAGGAAATAATCAAAGCCATGCATGCGGCGCTGAAGCGAATCCCTCCTGAAGTGGCCTCAACCGTGCAACTCCAGCAGCAGTCGGTGGAGGTTTTATCAAAGGGCAGAAGCAGGGAGTGTGTAGATGCTTATTATCACGTGAGTAGCGCCTTTGGCGTTTATTGCTTGATAAGAACCGACGGTGTTTCAGAACCGGCAACCTCACAGACAGAACTATGAAGAATTTCAGAAACTAATCGAATGCAGCACTTTGAAGCTGGAAGCCAGCTGCCGGCACCTGGAGGACATGTGCGGTCAGCTGAAAGACGAAAAACTGTCATTGGAGACGCGGCTGCAAGGCGAAAAAGCCAACAGCAAAAGGCTGCAAAGCAAAATCGACGAAATGGAGGATTCGAATGTAAGAATCTGCAATATTATCTGGTTGGGACCGTTCTAGCGTAGCTATTTCCAGAGGAGATTGACACTCAACCTGCTGAAGCAAGACGAAGAAGTCGGGCAGCTGAGAGGTGCCATTGGGGTTCTGGAAGGGAAGCTGGAAGAAAAAGCGTCGGCAGGGCCGGACCTGCAGCAGCCGATGATGGACTTGAAAAAATCCAAGCTGAATCTTGAACGAGAGAACCAAAAACTCGAACATCAGCTACGGCTGCGCGACATTGAAAAAGAAAAACTGTTGGCAATTTTGGCAGTTCGCGATCGGCAAATCTACGAAATTCGCAATGAAATGACTCAGCTACAGCAATCCGTCAATGAACAACTGGTAGAGCTGCATAACTACGCCACTTCAGCTATACCGCATGACTTAGGCATGTGATTAGGCCCCACTCCGGTTTGCCTTCTAATTGGCGTTTTTACAGACCCAAACGACGTCCCCACTATATCGTCCATCTGGCCAACGGGCGGTCAATTTCAACTCCAACTAGCCAAGTCGGATAATTCCTTAAAAAACTCCGATTCTGAAGATGAAGCTGCTGCAACCGGCTAACTATACCCAGTCAAGGTAAAAGTGTAAAACGCGAAAATTTGTTGTTAATATGTATTAAAGAATAATTAATTATCAGCAGCTTAACCGCAAACAGCAGGGTTATTGGCGATAAACCGCCCCCTTCGGCGTATTTAAGTGCACAAAACATCTTGTTTGAAAAGCAATTAGGGCAGCAAGTAACATTATGACCTGATTAATGACCTATTATGCGTAAATGTAGGTGATTCAACATCAACGACCGCCAGCCAACAAAAGAGTTTATTATTATTAGGTCGGCGTAATATGGATTAATGGAAAGAAATTTCAGATTTATCTTCTCGCTGCCTCCAATTCGCTTTATTACCCCCGATACCCAGGATTAAGAGTGCAACGGTTGATTGAGCTGATGAACGGGCAGTAAAGGGTGAGCCAAGAAAAGCTCAAAGCTAACTTGGTCTATTGACCTAGGGCTTACCTACCTGGGCAGAACGCAGCAGGATAGTCAAGATAATTGCATGACACGGGACCTGAAATCTGAAGCACCAAATCACATTTCGTGCCGCGATCTCGTCGATATTCCACGCACTTTAGTCAGACATCGCGGGGTTTTTTCAGAGGGAATTGTCTACGCCCAAAATCCACCGAAAGTAAAATAGAGCTCCAGCAGCAAGACAGGCCGAGGAGTCGGGCTGTGGCTCTATGGAAGGCGTGCGCACAATCGATATATGCCCGCCCGGCCGGGACAGACTACCCGTGTCGCTTTAGAGGCCGAAGGCGCACCCTTCTAATAATGCGCCTTTGTCGGATTGCCCGGTTTTCCATTTGGGCGACGATTTTCCCCCAGAGAAAGAAAAACTGACATCGCGACTTTGCCAGAAAAGCACCAAATAAAAAAGAATTAAACAAAACGCATAGAATCTCTTGAAATGCGGGTCAACATTTATTGAACTTAGCATTAATCAGAAATGTCCCAATATAAGGAGAGATTTTCTTACAAAAATAACGCATTCACTCTCAGGATAACACTTGCACATAATTGTTTAAGTTTATGTTTTGTTAATTCACTAGCGATTCCGGATGACAATGTACCTGTGGGATTTTGGCCGTAGTGTGAAAGCTGCAGCAATTCAGTGCATGTTCCGAAAATGTTCTAGCGGGAGACTAGATAGAGGTTTACACAACATAGCAGTAAAACAGTTTGAGGAAGATAGGGAACATCTTATAACAAAAGGCGGTGGCTTCGGTAGGAAACCTTGGATATTAGTGAATTTTCTGACTAGATTTTTAAAGCTCACTTAGTGAAACTGCTTCAAGGGCCAAGCAGATAGTGATCATTGCAACCTTCCACTATCTCCATTCGAGCCATTCGCTCACAATTAACTTCAGACATTGCTGCACCCACTAGTCATCGGCGCCACCACACTGCCGATCCGGGTCCTATCTCATGATGAACGAATTGGAATTATTGTCTACGTCAAAGTCCAAAACCAGCAGCTTGGTCTCTTCGGTCCCGTTTCGGCTACCAACCGCGCAAACCAGTTTGGTTTCGTTCGCCCTAATTCGCCAAACGACGCCACCAGATCCGCCACTCTCCAAAGTCACCAAATTGCGGATGAATTCTCCCGTTCTCAGGTCCCAAAGCTTCACTGTTCCATCATCTGACGAAGTGATCACAAATCGGCTATTGAATTGCAAGCAGGTCACTGCTGACTGGTGTTTACTTGGGCCTGGAACAGACAAAAACATCGGACAATGGACAAGGCATAAATATCATTCTCTCCTCAGATTTATCAGCCAGTGTTTTTTGAGGGAGTCATTTCAAGAAAGGCTTATATGTAGATTTGGTGCAACAACTGCATCTCCCGGACTTTGCTTCGAAGCAGTTCTTTGAATGGATAATCCTTCGCCTGTGAATCCCATATCGGTTCTTAAATTTATCAAGCCACCCAGCACTCGCTTCAGAATTTCTGTTATCGTAGACGTGGTAGCTTCCGGACGTTCGGATTAAAAGGATTTTTAATCCGTGTGAAGTAGCACAAACCCGCCTCAACCATACAAATCGCATCAACGTAGTCGCGCTTACCCGATAATGTTTGCAAACATTGGCCAGTCAGAATGTCCCACACTTTGACAGTGGAATCGGCATTTCCCGAAACCAAGATGTTGTTCTGCAGTTCCATTCCGGAGGTAAGTGATTGATGGCCCATTAATGTATGCTTGCAGGTGCCAGTTTCCACATCCCAAACACGAATACTGGTGTCCAACGATCCACTCACTACGTGCACCCCATCGAACTAGCAGGAGAGAACGATTCATTGTGAGAGAAAAAATCAACAGTGGCTTTTTACCTGCAACGAATAGACCCGATTCGTGTGACCCTGCAGTGTGTGGAGGCACTCTTCAGTCTCAGGTTTCCACACTTTCACCATATAGTCGTAAGCACCGGACACCACCAGACGTCCATCGTATTGCACACATCGCACTGCAGCCAGATGACCGACCAGCACATGCAGGAATTCTCCCGTTTCAATGTTCCATACACGCAACGTCGCATCCCTCGATCCGCTAACCACTCTGAAAGCACGCATTTATTACAATCTGCTCTTGCATGCTGCTGTTGCCAAAACTTACTTATTTCCATGCAAATGCATACATCGAACAGTTGATGTGTGGCCGAATAAAGTGTGCTGACAAATGCCCGATTCAGCGTCCCAAACCTTCAAGGTTCTATCAGTGCTGCCGCTGATTACAATATTGCCGGACATTTGGGATGACCACACGCCCCCCGTATGGCCTGATAACGTCCGCATCAACTGCAATCAAAGCCCAGTTGGAATACGTTATTTGGCGTGATTCACACGGTTTGTGTTACCTTTCCACTAATCGCCGACCAAACTTTCAACGTATTGTCGTCAGATCCGCTGACGATTTTGTTGCCGGAAAATTGCAAACAGGTAATCACATGATCGTCATGACCTTTCAACATTTTGGGCGTTCTAATTGGGCTGTGTCGCCAATTCATCTCAATGTCGTGGAAGCGCATATACGCAGCCTGAAAACCCAAGAAGTCACAGTGGAGTCGGCCACGGCCCAAGAAGAAGAGTCGAAATCGTACCTTCCATGGCGACATTTTAATTTTAATAACCCTGGTGATAACGCGCCGTGCTGGGACATCTTCAACGCCCACTTCCCGGCATTTTTCCTTCCACAGCAGATTGTCGTCGGCCAACATCTTCCAGCTGTGGCAAGTTTGCGCCGCCTTCAATAAATCGGGCGGATCCAAGAACGACAGCACTTTTAAGGCTAACTCTTTTGGTAACAATGAAATAAAATCTCTTTGGAATTGAGGCTCAATCACTTGCATTATGTGTCGCACTTGAGTCGGCACACAACTGCAATCCAATAAAACGGTGGTGAGTGTCTTTTATTGGTTGTTAGTCGGGTCAAGGGCTTACCGATCAATCAGTTCGGTAAGGGCCATGATTCGTTCCGCATTAGACCAGCGCGTGAACTGACCCAACCAATTGGGCATCTCTGTTGGTGGATTGTCTTTCGTTGGAATGACCGGCCAGCGATTACTTGGAGTAAGCGTGCTTGCCCTTGGGATCATTTGAGTATTCGGTGATAAGCAGTTGTGTTCTTCTTCAGGTACCAGTGGTCTTTTGTTAGGACGGGCATCGTTCACGTCCAGTTTTCGTTTTTTCTATGGCCCATAATTCGTCCATAAACGAATTACTCTAATGGTCCACCACAACTTACCAAATCACATTCGATGTAATCAGACTTTTCTGCTGGGCTTCTTCTAACTAGTGAACTTTTTGGCGTTGAACAAAAACTGGCACAAATATTTACAGGTTGAGGCACATCATTTTCTTCAATAGAAGCTTCCTGATCAATGGTGTCACTGACGGAATTTTCATCTGTTAAAACTATGATTCCATTAACCAGTAAATCTTTAGGCACAGCTGCGTCTTGGTTTGACGGGCCTACAAAGGAAAAGTTGGAATTTCCCAATGAGAATCAGCCAAGTAACTTGCTCAAATTTCCACTACGTTTTTGAATGTTTACTGAGCCTTACCAGGTATAATTTCTGAACAGGAATCTATAATACATTCGGTTGGACTAGGACTAGCACAGTCTTGTTTGGAGATATCGGGGTGGTCTTTTGATCTGCAAATAATATCAAAAGAGTGGTCTGTCGGTTGCCATGCCTCTGCCATTCTAAACGTGTTTTCTTCGAGCCGCACTGATTATGGGAACTGGAAACGAAAATTGCCTTTATCCATCCATACAGCCCACACTTGAAAGAAAGAAAATCCATCCAAATAGCCAAGAATTGGGAACGATTTCGCGGAATACTCAAGTCATTTCTTGGCTCCTACACCTTTGTATGAAGTCTTTGTTCGTCAAAGTGCATGAATGTGGGCTGGATCAGCCCTGAAACTAAGACACGAGGACTGGAAAACACCAAACCTCAAAAACGTGTTTTCCGTGACAATTTTCGTACTTCAGCGTAGAGTTGGCAGCCAATGCCCACGTGGTTGCTTTAGGGCGTCCGCACAGGCACTTGCCAAGTGGGGCAGGGGGAGATTTGGGCAAACGGCCCCGGTAAAGGCCCCAAACACACACTTTTCCATGCACCACGAGTGAAACTTTACACCCATTACATGTACACCTTTGAGGCTAGGACGATTAATGAAAATTGCGCTTACCTTATCATGCTACAAATTGCACTACGTTTACAGTCGCTCGGTGAATAACGATGCTACTAAACTAATATAATTCACTTTTTACTAAACTGTTTTTTCATTGGAAAATTTTCATTCGGTACCTGACAGTGACCTGACATTCACAATACTTGTGACAGGACTGTCACATTGTCCTGTTTTCGACAATGACATTGTCGAATTCGAACAGTGATGTTTGCTTTGACATCAGCGTTGCCAATGTGGATATTAACTAGGAAATAACAAAACACACAAAGATAATTTATTAATAAAAATAAAAATATCAGCTATGAGCTGAGCACGTTATTAACAGCGCAGACCAAGGCCTCATGATTTTAGAAATTATCAGGAAATAAACTAATAATTGTTAAATAAAATGAAATGATCTGTATGAACAACTCGTAAGATTAAAAATAACAGAAAGCTTACACCTGCGATCATATGCTAGCACATGAACGTTAATGTGAAAGAGCGAGAAGTTACCAGGTCCCTTTGGACCACAGTTCACAAAATAACTTATGTGATCTGTGCTTCAGCCTACGTTCAAAGCTTCAAAACATTAAATTTTAATTTTGACCGTTGCTTTCATTGTTTGTGTCAGTTGTGTTTGTCTGAGGTAGTTTCTTAACCGAACTGTGTTTGATTTGAACAGATCAAAATGCGGAAGGCCGAGGAAATTGTGGAGAGGCATCTGAAAACCATCAAAATTCCTCAAGGCCTAGAAAAACAGACCAAGCAGTTGGTTACCAACATGGTTCAACATCCGGCTTTCAACAATACAGAGTGAGTCTAACTGTCTGCTCAACCAAACAGGTCTGAACTACCTTGTTAAACCAAACTCTGGGGTCCCTTTGTTAGGAAATGTTCTCGCAAGGGGAGCCAATCTAGCCTTTTAATGTACCGTCGATCGGGGTGAGGTCGGACGATTTTTTCGGTTTCTTAATAAAAAGTATAATTTGAAAATAAAATTTCCAATTAAATAATTGAGTCTTCCATGTCTCCTTTGTCGAAATCCATAATAAAACAAACCAACGCTCTAGCGACATTTTCTTGTATTGTAGTTCATTGTTGTTCTTAAAATTAATACCGATTTTCTTTTTATGCTGCCTAGCCATGGTGTCCACCTTTACCTCTATAAAATAAGTTTTTTTACTAAAACGCAATTATTTAACACGAAAACAATATTTCGACTTCACCAAGAATGACCGGTAATGGACCCTTAGATTTCCAGCTTAATGTATCACTTACATTAGTGACTCAGGCAAGTGGGGCTCTATTTAATCATTTAAAATCTGCAAAGGTTTTTCCGCAAACCAGCCAACAAGTGCCTGAATCCAAGCAGTTTTCCCAATTCGTTTCATCAGTTTCCAGTCGTAAACACAACTTTTTTTAGATACAAATGGACTCTAGACGACTTCGAGCTGGGCAACCGATTAGGCCGAGGCAAATTCGGTCGAGTGTATATGGCGAGGGAAAGATCCACCGGGTTTA